GAGGGAGGCTAATTCCAGCCTTTCCCCCTGAAATTTCTAAACCAACTTTCTCAATCACAGTCACTTTGGGTGCCAAGATGAAGCTGCTAGCAAGTATGACAACTTTTCTTTCATTCTGAATATTCTGTAATTGGAAATGCAATGAATGCAACAAACCAGGATAGGGCGATGAAAACAATATTGTCACTGAGTCAGGAAAGGGATGCCTTTTAGAGAAGGCATCAGGAAAGATCATTTGAAGATGTGACAGTAGAGTTGTGGAAGATGCCTAAGAGCAAACCATGCAGACAGCTTGTGTAAAGGTGCTGAGGCTGCAAGTATTTTATTTTGTGTCTGGAGTAGAAAGAAAGAAAGGACAGGAGTGATGAGGTGCAAGCCTGATCTCTCAGCGCCTTGAGACCATTATAATAAGTTAATCAGGAAATTTGCCAGCAAACGGAAACAAATATAAAATCTGTTCATTACATCTATCGTTGTACTAAACTGTGTTCTGGAAAACTCAATTTCGTTTTATTCCTGAGAGATGCCTTTCTAGTCACAAATCTGTCCTTTTAAGAATGAGAGTCTTTCATGTTTGAATCCAAGGTTTCAAAATTCTACCTTTCTTCTCTTCCCTATGCGAGAATATATTTTCTTCACAATATATGCTTATTAACCATTCATATATCTTCTTTGGTGAAATGCCTATTGTATTGATTTGCCGATTTTTAAATTATGTTGTCTCCTTCTTAATTTATAAGAATTCTTTATATATTCTGGTTATAAGTCTTTAAATGGATATTGTGTTTCACAAATATTTCCTCCCAGTCAATGTCTTATCTTTGTCTTTCCTTGGAGATGTCTTTTGAAGCCCAAAAGTCGTTGATTTACTGATTTATTTATTTAAGATGGAGTTTTTGCTCCTGTTGCCTAAGCTGGACTACAATGATGCCATCATGGCTCACTGTAACCTTCGCCTCCCAAGTTCAAGTGATTCTCCTGCCTCAGCCTCCCAAGTAACTGAGACTACAGGCGCCTGCCACCATGCCCAGCTAATTTTTTGCATTTAGTAGAGACAGGTTTCACCATACTGTTCAGGCTGGTCTCAAACTCCTGACCTCAGGTGTTCCACCTGCCTTGGCCTCCCAAACTACTGGAATTATAGGCAAGAGCCACTGAACCTGACCAAAAAGTTCTTTTATTTTATTTTATATTTTATTTTATTTTATTATATTCTTCTTTAAGTTCTTTAAGTCATGTATGGGCAGATGAAAAGTTATTTTTAATGAAATCCAATCTATTTTTTTTTATTTTATGTACCATTACTGGTGTTATGTCTAAAAATCTATGGTCTAAATTACTTTCACAAAAATTTTCTCCTATATATTCTTCAAAAATTTTATATTTTAGCCTTTCCATTTTAGTGTATGATCTATTTTAAGTTAATTTTTGTCTTATGATATGAGTAAAGTACCTGAATTAGGAATTTTAATGGGATTATCTAATTTTCTCAGAACCATTTGTTGAAAAGACTACCTTTTCCCTCCATTCAACTGCCCTAGTGGCTTTATTAAAAGTCAATGAAACGTAGATGCTAAGGTTTTATTTCTGAATTTTCAATCTCATTCTATTTATCTATGGATCTTTTCTTGCACCAGTATCACAGTGTTACGATTATTGAAAATGTATAGTAACCTTTGTCATGGTTCTTCTTCAAAATTGTTTTGGTTATTGTGAGCCCTTTTCATTCTCATTTAAATGTTAAGACAAGCTAATCAATATTTACAAAACTATCAGCTGAGATTTTAACAGGGATTGTGTTAAACCTGTTGATAAAACTATAAAGAAATGCTTTCTTTAAACAATGTTGAGCTTTGTAGCGCATAAACATAGAATGCCTATTTATTTCAGATCTCTTAAAACTTTTTTTCAGCAATGTTTTGTTGTTTTCAGAAAACAAGCCTTGAACTTCTCATGAAAAAATCTCAAATATTTTATTCTTTTTGATGAAATTATGTATGAAATTGTTTTTCTTAATCTCATTTTCAGATGTTCTTGGTGAGCATATGGAGGGTGTGTTGATCC